ATTCAATTTTCATTTATATCTATTTTTTACAGTCTAATATTTTATAAGTTTAGTTTTCTAACTTGTAATATCGGTGGTGTGGAGTCTTTCCATGATTTCTTACTGTTTTTATCTTTTGTGTGCAATATGCATGCTTTGATTTGAATATTTTATCTACGTATACTAATTTAAGTTTTTGGTTTTTTTAACATAATTTACTTTCCTATTTGTTACTTAAGCTTTTTATTTTAATTTTTCCATCTATAAAACGAAATCAATGTTTTTATTTTCTTGTCAATTAATTTAGAAGTTAGAATTTTCCTAATTTATATTATAAGTTTGAACTTTTATGCTATTAGTTTTTTTTGTTATTTTAACTCTTTTGAAAACAAATTTCTATTTTATTTTTAAGGATACTATTTTTTGGTTTTTAACATAATTTTCTTTTCTATTTGTTACTTAACATTTTTATTTAATTTTTAAAACGAAATTAAGGTTTTAATCATACTGAACGATTTTTTGTTTAATGAATATGCTTATGTGGACCAATCAGATCGAGTTTTTTAATCTCATGTGGACGTCCTCAATGCATTATGCCTTCAACTTTTATATATTATAGATTTTTCCATCTACAAAAAAATTAATATTTTTTATTTTTTTGTCAATTAGCTTAGAAGTTAGAAATTTTCTTAATCTATATTATAAGTTTTAGCTTTTATGTTATTAGTTTTTTTTTGTTAGGTTAACTCTTTTGATATTAAATTTCTATTTAATTTTTAAGGATACTATAAATTTATTTTTTTAACATTAATTTCTTTTCTATTTGTTACATAAATTTTTTATTTTGATTTTTCCAAATATAAAACGAAATTAATGTTTTAAAAAAATAGAAATTAATTTTGTAATGTTTTAATCAAATTTAACATTTTTATGTTTAATGCAAAACGCTGATGTGAACAAATCATATTGAGTTTCTTCTCTTAATCATACTTAACATTTTTGTGATTAATGAAAAAAGATGATGTGGACCAACAGATCGAGTTTTTTAATCACATGTGGATGCCCTTAATGCATTATGCCATCAATTTTTATATATTATAGACTAGGTATATAACACGCGCTACGCGCAAAGCTGTATTAATATTTTGGTTTAATTTTTTTTAGCTACTATCTTTAAAATTATTAAAAATATAATATATTTATAGAAATTTTCATTTATATGAGAGAATTTAATATATAATATGTAATTTATCCTATTTTTATTTATAAATTTTAAAAACCTATTAAGTAAAATAATAACACTGACACCTATCGAATTATCCAACTTTGACGTACATATACATTTGATTTAGAGAAATATAATATTGCTAAGATTTTGGTATTATTTTTTGTTTTCCATAGAATTTATATAGTTCTTTTTTCTTAAAGGTTTATGTGTTCAAATATTTTGTTTTTCATTGAGAGTCTTATTTATGTTGTGTGTCACTGTATATATAATCCATGATTCATGTTGATTCATATTTAATTTTGTTAGGAAGTTGTAATGATCATGCAAAACCATTTTTTCCTTCTCCATCATGTCTTCCAAGAGTTTTATGTTATATTTTTATTCAGTTTTTATTGTTTTAATTGTTAAATCGAGTTGTTGTAGATTTTTTTAAATTGATAATTGATAATGGTTACTTTTTTTATACATGTATTGTTAATTGTTAATTGTTAATTTTTTATTTAACTTTTAAAATTTTAAATCATATTAACATTTTCTGATTTATTTGGATCAATCAGATTAAATTTACTTTATTGTTAGACATAATTTGTTAAATTAATTTTTAATGTTTTAATAATACTTAATAATTTTTGGTTTGATTTAAAAGCTGGTGTGGACCAATTAAATCAAGTTTTTCTGTTCTAATCATACTTAACATTTTTTTATTTAATGAATATGCTGATGTGGACCAATCAGATCGAGTTTTTAATCCCATGTGGACGCCCTCAATGCATTATGCCATCAACTTTTATATATTATATGATGATGTGGACGTCCTCAATGCACTATGCCATCAACTTTTATATATTACTAGGTTTTTAACTCGCGCTATGCGCGAGTCTGTATTAATAATTTGATTTAATTCTTTTTTTGTTCATATCTTTTAAATTATAAAAACTATAATATATGTATAGAAATTTTCTTTTATATAAAAAACTTTAAAACATAATCTGTAGTTTTCCTATTTTTTGCTTAGAAAATTTAAAATTTTATTAAGTCTAATCATAGTAATGACACCTAACAATTTATTCAACTTCAACGTGCATATATTTGATTTAGAAAATAATTTTCTTACTAAACTTTTGGTATTTTGTCTTGTATCTTAGGATTTCTATAGTTGTTTTTTTTTAAGGTTTTATATGTTCAAATATTTAGTTATTGATTAAATATCTCACTAATGTTGTGTAACTATGCATACATAATATATGATTCATGTTGATTCAGATTTACTTTTTACATAATATAGGATGCTACAATAGTTGTGTAAAGCTTCTTCTGCTTCTCCATCAGATCTTCTATGAAGTTTAGGTTATCTCTTTATTTAATTTATAAAATCTGTTTTATTTGCAGTTAACTATTTGATAAATTTTTTAAAAAAACATGTAAGATTGTGTGAAGTCTTCACATTATTTTTTACTGTTTTTATATTTTGTGTGTTTTATTCATGTTTAATTTAAATAGTTTATATAGATATATTCCAATTTGAATTTGATTCATAACATTGTCATACATTATTATTTAAATAAAATTTTAGAAAGTGTTACTCATGTGCTGTTCATGTTGGCTAAGTCATAAATAGTAGCTATGTATAAAAAATCAGACTTTATTACTTGTTATATTTCGAATGTAGAGTTACTTGTGTTGTATTTTTTTGTTAGTTTTTAAATCAGACGTAGCCAAAGTATTAGTCTTTGTAAATTTAAATAATATATTTGATTTAGAAACTCGTATAACATACTGTAATTTTATATGGTTATTCATAGTGAATACCAATATTTTAGAAATCATAAATTTTCTGGAACTAAATTTTAAACTAATTTTCTTTTTTAGATTTTGTTTGTTTTTTATTTTACATATCTTTTAATAGTAATTTTATATTTTATTTTAATTTATATAATTTTTTGCATGTTTGATATACTTAAAATATATATATCTTTAATTAAGCTATTTTGTTATTGATTTTCCAAATAGGTAGCATATATATTAATTTAATTTTTTTTACATAAGTGTTTTTTTGTTAAATTTTAATTTTAATTATAATATTATTTTGACATGCTATAACTCGATATTCTAAATTTTATGTGGACTTATCTCAAAAACGTATATTATCATTGTTTTATTAGGTCATATTTTTATGTTGATTTTCCAAAACATTAGCCTAAATATACTTTATACGAATTTTACCTTTGATATTTTACCTCTCTTGATACTGATTTCTATTTTATTTTAACACAAAATATTGACATTTTTAAAGACATAATTTCATTTTTCGTTATTTTGCTACTTAAATTTTGTTTATATTGATTTCTTAAGTAGTTAGTCATATATCAAGTCAATTTCTTATTAGATAAATTTTTCAAATATAAAATTTTGTAAAAATTAATTTTTGTTTTATTTATTGATTAATTAATTTCTTACTACTGATTTTTAAATAAGTAGCTTAAATATTTATCTCTTTTTTGTTAGTTAAGATTTTTAGTATGACTTCAGTTTTTTTATTCTCTTACTAATTTTCTTTATATTGATTTTGTTAAATAAATAGCATAGATATCAAGTTAATTTTCTTTTTTTTTCTTTGTTAATTTAACCTTTTTGATATGAATTTTCATTTTAATTGTATTGACATGGTGTAAGAAATAATTTTTGTTTTGTTTTTTGTGAGTTAAATGTTTTTATCTTCAGTAAATAGTATAAAATATTATTTTTTGGTTAGTTAAGCTTTTTGTGTTGATTTTCTAAATAATTAGGCTATATATCAAATTTTTGATGACTTTTTTTTGTTAATTTAACATGAATTTATTTTTGTAGTATTGATAGTTTTAAATAACAATTTTATATGTTTATATAACAATTTAAATTTAATATTTTTGTTAAATTAATTACTCATTTAAAATATATAAGATAATTAATATTAACTTTATATTATACTATGATAATTTATATTTAATATTTTTTATGTTTGATAAAAAAACACTGATTTTGACCAATCAAATTGAGTTTCTATGTTCTATGTAGACGCTTTCATCAGTATAAAACATCAACATGGACCATAACTAATATATTTTAAGTTAGTAGCTCAGATTATAATTTTTTATCATAATTAAAATTTTAAAATAGTTTAATGATAGTCTTAAATAAAATTTTTAATTATTTTGTTTAATATATATGATTTTTTCTTAATAATCTATTTATATGTTAAATTACTTTTTGTTGTAAATAGAAAAATAAGATCTACTTTCTAACATTTTTTATTAATAACTAATTTAAAATTTAGAAAATTTCCTAATAATAACAAAAACGAAATTAATTAAAAATTTTAAAAAAAAATTTAAAAATAAAAAACGAAATTAATTAATTTAATATACAATATATAATTAAATAAAGATAATGATGATGTGTACCAATATAATTGAATCTGTAAATCCCATATGGACATCCTTAGAGGTATTTAGCATCATCTTTTATTAATAATAGATATGATGATGATGATTTTAAATCTCTTTTAGATAATGTTTAGTATGAATAAATATTAACATTTTATATAAAGTATTTTTTTTTTTATTAATTGGCCAAAAAACTCTTATATTGTATATAGGATTGTTGTGAAGCAAAATGATACTAGGACAAAAATTCAGAGAGTTGCTCATCTACAAAATAACAAGGAAAACAAAACAAGACATAATATATTTCTGTATTCTTTAATTCCCAAAATACATATAAGAAATCAAAATGAAATCGTCTTTGCATGAATGTGTCAATCATCAGATTTTTGAGCGTTTTGGTTATCAACTCCAAAAGCATCAGCCATGTTGAAGTTCAAATTTTTCATCATGGTTCTGCTTCTCCCAACTCCATCTCCTTTCCTCATCATTGCCGTAAACTCCGAGAAATCGATCTTCCCGTCCTACCAAATTCAACCTCAAACGATTAATAATATAAAACAGTGTGTCATTTGAAGAGAGGAAGAGTGGTTACATTATCAAGATCAATCTCCTTGATCATATCATCGAGAGGTGTATCACATAGACCAAACTCTGTGCAAGCTGACTGAAGCTCATCAATGGTGATATATCCGCTACCGTCTTTGTCAAAATACGAAAACGCAGCCACAAGATTCTCCTCTCTCTCCATCTTGTTCATGTGTAATGTTGCTGCAAGAAACTCTCCATAGTCTATTGTACCGCTGTTGTCAATATCAGCCTGTACCCAAAACACAAAATTCTTCTGTAAGCCAACGAAAGGAGAAAGGAGAAAGAAGAAAGCGGAGATTTTGGTTTACCGCGTCCATAAGAGACTTGATTTCTGATTCCATCAGTTCGGATCCAACTCTCTTCAAACCCGCTTTGAGCTCTTCGAATGTAATCGTCCCGCTGTTATCTGTATCTATCATTTTGAACAATTCCCTTAGACCTCCAATTTCTTCCTCTGAAAGTCTCTCAGCTATTACCCGTAAGGCCATCTTTTTAATCTTGTTCATTTGCGAGAACTGCTTTAGTCGCGATAAAACTGCTGGATCAAGAGGCTTGTCTGGTGCTGCATGTTCATCGACAATCCATGGGTGACCTATAAACATTCAGGAGCAAACTCAATACTTCATTACTTACCAAAACAAACAGTAAGCTTCCAAATGAAATAACCAAAAACTAAACTTACACAAGGCTTCATGAGCAGAAATGCGTTTCTTGGGGCTCCTTTCAAGCATTTTGTTGATCAAATCTTTAGCAGCTTCTGAGATACTTGGCCACGGGTCAGATTTAAAATCTAACTTCTCTTGCAATATCTGTCTAAAGATTCCAGACTCGGTTTCTACAAGCCCCAAGACAGAAAGATGCAATCATTCATACAAAACTCGAAACTAGCAAGTAAGAAAAAGGCTGTGGCTTCTTTGTAGACTTACCTGCCCAGAAAGGAGGAACACCGCTTAGTAAGATGTAGAGGATAACACCGGCGCTCCACACATCTATTTCAGGTCCATAACATTTCTTTAAAACCTCTGGTGCAACATAGTACGGACTTCCAACAACGTCGTATAGATATTGTCCTGAAGAGCAAACAAAAACCAATTAGATTATGAACAGGTATTGGCTAAAACTTATCTGGTTTTGAGGAACCACATATCCAAAGAAACAATGCAGAATAGTTCCAATCAACACATGAAGTTTCAGAGACTCAAATGTAGAAACTTATCTGGTTTTGAGGGAATCACAGATCCAAAGAAACAATGCAGAATAGTTCCAATCAACACATGAAGTATCAGAGACTCAAATGTAGAAACTTATCTGGTTTTGAGGGAATCACAGATCCAAAGAAGCAATGCAGAATAGTTCCAATCTATACAATTACATACAATGTTTCCCTAACAAAGAAACAATCCCCAAGCAGCAAAATCGGAATTTAACGAAACAAATCATCAAGACTAAACATACCCAAACCCACTGATCCAATTCCAAGCCAGACAAACGCAGAATAACTCCAATCAACGCATGAGGTTTCAGAGACTCAAAATGAAGAACATCGATACAAGAAATGTTTCCTGTAACAAAGAAACAATCCTAAACATACCCAAATCCCTTACGCCGAGTTTTCAATTCAAGAGACGAAAAAGAACAAACATGTTTCTATCAAGAAACCAAACAAACATCCACAATGTATGAAGCAGCAATACACGGATACGAACAAATTCGATCGATTCCAAAGATTAACCAAAGAGATGAGTGGTGATTGGATAATCGAAAAACCAAACCTGGCTTGTAGAAAACAGACAAACCAAAATCCGTAGCCTTGAGCTTCGCATCTTCCTTGGGACTATCAAACAAGAAATTCTCAGGTTTGAGATCTCTATGCATAACACCAAGCGAATGACAAGCCTCAACAACACCAAGAATCGTCTTGATAAGCTTCACGGCCTCACGCTCGCTGAAATGGCCCTTTGAAACAATCCGATCAAAAAGCTCGCCTCCTTCACAAACCTCCATAACGATGTGAACGAAAACGGAATCCTCGTAAGTACCCTTGATCCGAACAACATTGGGATGCTCAGAGAGATGATGCATGATCTGAATCTCGCGCCAGACATCCTCGTAATCCTCGCGGCAGACGAGTTTGCGCTTGGGGATTGATTTGCAGGCGTAATTAGCGGAGGTTGATTTCTCGGTGCAGAGATAGGTTGTGCCGAATTGGCCTTGGCCTAGCTTTTTGCCGAGGAGGTAGTGATCTCTTAATCGAGGAGTTTGGTAAGGGAGAACAGTGTTTGAAGGTCGTCTAGGGTTTGGTTTCTCCATTTTTGCGATCTCGATTGAAGATTTTCTGTTGAGAGAGACGATGATGATGACAAAATAGACTCCAAGAACAAAAAAACGCTCCTTGATTCCTTCCCTCTTCTCCGATTTTTGATTTACTCTTCTATCATCATATTAATCACATTTGTTTACATTTTCTTATTTAATATCCTTTCAAATAGAGTGTGGTATCATATTATTAATTAGTAAACAAATTAGGATGTGATCGAGAGTTATGATGGTTGATTACTATATGCCTATTATATAAAAATATTTTATTTACCTTTAATGAAATAACAAATTAATATAATCTAATTTTTAATTTTCATTTTATTTAAATTTAAATTTCCAAATTCGAATTTATATCATAAAAAAATTCAGTTTACTAAAAAAGATAATTAGTATAAATCACAAAAAATCAATTCTAATTATTTTCTTAAACTAATTTTAATTTGATCGTTTAACCTACTAATATTTTTGATTAACCTAATTGATTTATGCGGTCACAAGTAAAACTCTAAATCTTATAAAAATTGATTTATGTGGCCAAAAAACAATATCATATTATTAATTGGTAAGCAAATTGGGCTGTGATTGAGAGTTATGATGGTTGATTACTATTTGCCCTTATATGAAAAGACGTTATTTACCCTTAATGAAATCAACAAAATTAATATAATCTAATTTTTAATTTTCATTTTATTTAAACCTAAATTTCCAAATTCGAGTTTATATCATAAGAATATTCAGTTTACTAAAAATGATAATTAGCATAAATCATAAAAAATCAATTCTAATTATTTTCTTAAACTAATTTTAATTTGATCGTTTAATCTACTAATATTTTTGATTAACCTAATTGATTTATGCGGTCACAAGTAAAACTCTAAATCTTATGAAAATTGATTTATGTGGTCAAAAAACAATATATCTCATGAAAATTTTATTTTTCAAATATATTAATTTTGATTTCAAATAATTATAAAATTTGATTTTTTCATCTATAAATAAACTAATGTTATTTTTTTTAAAAAAGATTAATCGAACTCCGCACCTTGTGCGGGGAAACACCTAGTTTTCTATATTGTTTAATTGCTACATAATTTCCATACACAGTTTTTGTTGAATTTGATTTATGGCTGTTTTAAAGACTCGACTCGTCTTGATTTTATTTAGATATTAAATAAAATTAAAATTAAAAATTAGATTATATTAATTTGTTATTTTATTAAGGGTAAATAAAATATTTTCATATAAGGGGCAGATAGTAATCAACCATCATAACTCTCGATCACAGTCTAATTTGCTTACTAATTAATAATATGATTATTTTTTTTGGTTTCATCTTATAATATAAACAGATTTGCACTAATAAACAAATATAATGTATTACTTAATCAAAAACCACATTTAAAAAAATGAGAGTTTCTCTCTCTCTTCACTCTCTCAATCTTTTTGAGAGAGAAGTTCTCTTCTTTTTTTGTATTCCGCTAATAGGAAAATCAATTCTGGCATGTCCGACTCTCTGTAAATTATATTTTCGTTTATCGGATCATCATTTTGCATGTTTCTATTCAGATCCCAGATGAATTTGATGATATTCTTTTCTGTTGGTTGCTTGATTTTCCTTTGCGATATAATCCCTCGCTTTATGTTCTTAATTTGAAGCATAGGTTTTCATGAAGCTGTAAAATTGAGTTGTTGTAAAGTTTTTCGGATAGTTAAGGCGCAGCCTTAGTAGATCTGACGTTTCTTCATAAAAAGTCCAGTAAATATTCTGTCTCTCATCTTCTGGCGGCTTCCGGCGAAATCCACTAATGGCGTAAGGAGGTATATTCATCTTCTAATGGTTTATTCATGCGAAAGAAAGGAGCAGAATTAGATCAGAGCAGCACCGTGCTAATTAGAAGTTTTCATTCCGGCAACGATGAAGTTTACGATGAAAGCAGCGGCGCTGCAACTCCACATCTCCACTTACACGTGTTGTGATTTCTGCTGAGGTTTCCACGTTTTATGACGTGTCTTTTTGTATTAACACGTGTCCAGTTTTTATATTAGCTTTTCTTAGATTTTTTTGGGCCAGTACTGAATCAATCGGAGATGTAACTACACTACTCATACTTTTTATGGGTTTCATACCCTTTGGACTTTAACGAAGCAGACGACCAAAAAAAAAACTTAATCAAAAACCATCTCTCATTTTTTTTATCTTTGTGCTGTTAATCTTTTATGGTTTTATGATTGAAGGTTGATTATAAATGTAATCGGAAGTAGATGAAAAATACTATTAATACCTAAATATTGTATTATTATTGTGTGTATCGGTTACAGCCTTTTAAATATGTTTTTCTTACTAATTTCTAATCATTTATTGTTAATTAGATTTTAGAAAACAGTCTTAAGTTAGGTGATTTAACTTATTGTTGTATACTTGTTGTATTAAAATTAAATGTTTTTATAACTTGTTTATTTATAGTTTTATTGAAGTGGTGCAAGGTATACGTAAAATAATTAAAATAAATATATATGTATATATATGTAATCCATGAAATAATACAGTAGCATAGTGTTCGTAGGTGAAAAAAATACAATTAGCTTTGAAAATAAATAAAAAAGATTCAAGAAGGCAATTAGCATAAGCTCGTCTAACTAATATTATTATCGATTGGTCTATCATCTATGTCTAGTTGGGTTGGGTCGTATATAGAGAAGATTGGTGGATGATGGAGAACACGTTAAACATGACTTGGACCCACTTTATCTGCACGTCTGACTTGCGATTCTCTGAACCGAGTTGTATTATTTGAATAATAATTTAAATATAGACTATTTAGTGCGCCAATAAATTATTACCAACGAAGGAGAACGAGTAAACCGTACATGTACAATACGACTCAACCCCACTAGCGTAACCAATCGCATTAGAAAAGTTCAGCAATACGTTTTGAAACCAAGAGATTAGTATTATCGTCCGAACTAGAGGTGGGACTGTGCGCACAGATAGGATATCCAGAAATTTTTTCATATTTATGGTTTGCACTATTTTTAATAAATATTTAATTTTAAAATATGATTTGCTCCGAAAATATACGAATATCCAAATTCGGATATTCAGTTAATTTACAGATATTTACGAATATTTTTAAATATTTAGTTTATCTGTTCAATATACACAAAGCTGAAAATATATCAAATTTTATTAAAAAATATTTACTTTTCATCTAAATTATTAAGTAAAAATTAATATTTTTTTTAATAAAAAATAAATTTATAAAATTAAGGTGATAAAAAGAAAAAACTGATGGTGTCAAAAGAAATGATATATTATATATAAAATCATATTGGTTATTTAAACTCTAGTATTAAACTTTATGAAAAAAAATTATTTATATTTATTGACTAATATAAAATAAAATATTATTTATTAACATATTTTAAATTTTAAATATAAATTTTATTATTTATTATTTGTAATTTAATCATCTATTTCATATAATAAAAACAATAAAAACAATTGAAATTTTTTTAAAAACAATTGATAGCATAACAATGAAGATAAAATATAAATTTTATAATATAATAGATATATACATAATAAAATATACTAATATATAATAAATTTATAAAGATACGGATCAGAGCGGATATCCAATATTGTCTAAAAATATATTTATGATTTGTTCCGTTTTATACGGATACTACATTTTACTATTTGCTTTGCTCCAATACTTTACGGATTTTTAGATATTTCGAATTGAATCGAAGCAAATACCGATTTGAAGCGGATCTAACAGATATATACCTATTCTATTCTATTAAAACAAAAACATTTCATTGTTTAACCATTATTATTATGTTATCTCATGCAATATGTCATTGAAAATGTTTAATTTTACTATTTCTCATTAAAAGTAAATTTGAAAACCAACTTTATACTAGCTAAACTTATTTACTAATGTTGTAAACTAATGCTTTATAAAGAAAAGCAAAGAAGAGTTTAAGATCTTTTGAACTTCAGAGAGAAAGAGAGAAAGATGAACATAAAAACTTCATTTCTTTCTTCTTCTGAATTTATGATTTTACAAAGAATGAAGTCACCTATTTATAGGAAAAACCTTACTTCTTAGTGAAGTAAACTAATGTATAAAGACAAAACATATAGATAAGCATTATCCAAAACATATGGATAGGCATTATCTAAAACTTATGGATAAACATTACCCTTTAATATGTTAATATATAAAGACAAAAGTAAATAGATAATCACTATCCATTTAACACTCCCCCTTGATTATCCATCACTAATGATGTATTACGTACTGCTTCGTTAAAAAACTTATCATGGTAAAATATTTTTGGGATAAAAACCATGATAGCAAAAAGAGTGCAGTAACGCTCCCCCTCGAAATGACGCCTGAGTATCCATCATTGTGAAGTTGCGTGCTGCCTCGTTAAAAATCTTTCCATGGAAAAACCCAATGGGATAAAAACCATGATAAAGGGAAAAAGAGTACAGCAAAAGCAAACTCCCACTGGAAAAGATGGATCTCATCCTCTCTTCACAAATCTCGTAGATGTTGCATTCCAATACTATGAACATGTTTCTTGAATGTTGTAGTAGGAAGTGCTTTTGTGAAGAGATCAGCTGCGTTGTCACTTGAACGAACATACTGAATATCCACCACTTTATTCTTCTCGAGCTCTTGGGTATAAGAAAAGAATCTTGGAGGGATATGTTTCGTTCTATCGCTTTTGATATAACCTTCTTTAATTTGAGCGACACAAGCAGCATTATCTTCAAACACCTTTGTTGGTTCGTTGTATGTGATTATTCTGCTTGCTTCTTGTATGTGATGAGCTATCGATCTGAGCCATACACATTCTCTGCATGCTTAATGAAGCGTAATAATCTCCGCATAATTTGAAGAAGTTGCGACTAAAGTTTGCTTTTGAGATCGCCAAGAGATCGCAGTTCCACCAAATGTGGAATCATATCCAGTTTGCGATCGAGCTTTATGTGGATCAGA